GGAAGGGCTCGCCGGAGCCCGGGGGCAGGCGGCCGAGCCGCGTGGGGCGTCCCCGGCCTCGCCTCTGCCCCTCTCCGCCCTACGCTGGAGGAACTGGATTGTGACCCCATGGCCAGTCCCTGGACCATGGGGATGGGGAGATGTGGACCGCGTTTCTCTCCTCTACCCCAAGCTTAGTTCAGCCTAAAAAGTCCATGCCCAGCCCCGCCGCGGGGCACAGACCGGCTCCCCCGCCCAGCTCGGGCCCAGCGCCGCAGACAAGCCCCCGCCCGCAAGGGCACCAGACCCCGGGCTCAGACCTTGGCCGAGCTGCGCTGCAGCCCCCGGGCCGAGCCCGTGTGGGCATCGGAGCCTGGCGGAGCAGCAGAGACTGTTTGCTCCGCTGGGGCCCGTTTCCTGCGGTGGGAGCTGCCCCAGTCTCCTGCCGCCCGGCTGAGTGATGACCCCACGTCCAGGCTGCCCAGGATGCTGCCAGCCGGAGCCGCGCCCTGAAACAGCGGCAGCCAGTGGAGACAGCTGTGAAAACAGCTGCATTTTGCTGCTGGGGGAGTCCAGAAGCCGGCTGAGAAGTTGCTCTGACAGAGGAGAAGGGCTTTTAATGGAGCAGAGGAACTTGGAAGCGATTCCTCACACCCCAAATAAACGCTTTTATTTAGATCCCCATTTCCCGGGGTTCTCTCCCCTTCTGATGTCTGGACTTCTGTAATTCTTTGCTCTCCGGGTCATAGATCTTTAAAGTTCAAGGTGAGTTGCAGGACTGAGATTGGGCGGATAAGTCACATGGTTTGGGGGTTTTTTCCCCTGCTCGTTTATTGGAGAAGTCGGTCAGCACCGGTGTATCTGGTGAGAGGGGCAAAGCGAGCTTTGAAATCCACTATCTGCAAATGGTTTGCAATGGAGATGAATCGCAAGAATTTAAATTGTATGGGAACTGAAATGAGCAAAGGAAGAACTGGTGTTTGTCCAGCATTGCTTCCAGTCAGTGTTTTGTTTTTTGGGGGGGGGGGGTTTTCGGGGGGGTTTTTTGGGGGGGGGGTTTTTTGGGGGGGGTGTTTTT